TTTTGTCAGGCAGAAATTTATTTATACCCCCTGAGGGTGTAAGAGGTTAAGGCGAACACAGCTGCAGTAAAATGCTGAATCACCAAACACTTCAAACATGAAGCAAAGTGTTTTTAACCCCAAAGTGCTTTATTAGAACATGGTTAACATTTATTAACGGTTTTACTACATTTATCAGTACTTCTATAATCATGGGTTTAATATGTAGAGTTAGTAATTTCAATATCAGAATTGGAATCAGAATGAGGTTTATTGCCATTGTTAGTGAAGGAGTTCACAAACTAGGAATTTTTTATGGTACAATCGTGCAACATGAAACATATAATATGGAATAGGTAAATAAAATAATAAAAATATCTAAAAACTGTGGGTATGAGGCATGCAGTAAAATAGACTAATATATACACTTAAGATAAAAATATGGATATAAAATATAAAAAGTAAAATAGCATCTTACAAGGAGTGCAAATAGAGCAGTGTAAATTACATTGATAAATATAACATATAACAAATATATATAACAAATTTGATTGCGTAACATCATTTAATCTAAACCCCACTTGGCAGTTAAAGTGTCTGTACCCCATAACCCCGCCGACCCCAAATGAATTAATTTTCCACATAAATGCCACATCCCACCATCGCATATATATGCAGATCCTGTTTATATTTCAGAAGAGATCCACCTATTTCCCAAATCGGAACCTGATAACTTATTAATCTGTTCCGGTCAAAAGCAGATGAGTAGAAACCAACATTAATTGCTATTTTTAATTAAAACTTGTACCTCTAACGAGATATTCTGGATGCTTATCAAGCGTTGGGAGAACATCTAATTCTCCAGGCTGCTAATCGTTGGGTCTCGAGTTAATAATATAATTTCTTTTAAAGGACACTTTAGATAACACAGCAACCAGATAATGTTTTGGCGTTACAGAGTCTGCATGGTAGAAAACAAACTTCTACATTTACATTATCTCCACCTGCGGAGATAATGTAACCATCATGTGGAACAGTTGGGGATTAATCGATCAGACATGAAAATTAAAATCTTGTCTCATTTTTAAAAGGCTCCAACCTCTGTATTAAGTTTTAATCCTGTTTGGATGTTTTAAAAGCTGCAGCAATGCGACTTCAGTCTATTTTAGTCCCTAATGTTCAGTTGAGGAGCAAACTTTTCAGTTGCTTATAAATATGAAAAATGTATATTTCTGAGTTTTTTTTTTTTATTAATCTTTTAAAATTGAGACGGATATTAAACTCCTCCCATTACATCTCAGCGTGTTTTCACTTAAACCTGTTTGCAGCCACTGGTTTTCATTTTTAAATGCTCACCTGTAGTTGTAAGATCTAATTATCAAAATACACTCAATGTATACATTTCCGGACTATAAGCAGCTTCTTTTTTCTCACGCTTTGAACCAGGCGGCTTTTAAGAA